AAATGACAAAGGAATGCAGTGCGGGGTGCGCGGCCCCTTGCCAGGGCGGGGTGGGGCGGGCGGCCGACGTGGGGCAGGCCTGGAACCTCTCCGTCACCGGTCTGGAACTGACGTCAGTAAACAGACCTACTGCAGGAGAGTCTGGGCCGCAGAATTGTCCAGGTCCCATCTATTACCATGCAAGACCTTGGCCCAGGTCCAGAGCTTCCAAGAGCCTCAGTTTCCCTCATCTGTGACATGGGCCAAGTGCTCCCCTTGACAGAGTTGGGCCCAGAGGAAGGAAGCCGCTGGGAGTGAAGCCCTGGTGGGGGTGGGAGAGGGGCAGGGGTGGAGCCAGACGAAGGCCAGGACTCCACCTGGGGCTCCACAAGGGGGTCAGGCCTTCCTGGGGGTGCTCCGTGCGGCTGGACAGGCCCAGATGGGCTTTGTGGGGGAGGCCCGGGAAACCCCAAGGGAAGGAGGCGGGCAGGTGAGCTCTGAGTGTCTGGGACCCCACCGTGGAGCGCGGCTGCTTGCCCTGGACGCCAGAGAGGGCCTGGGGGTGTGACGTTAGGGGTCCCCACCCGCCTTCACTCAGCTGGCTGCCTGTGGAGGGACCTGCTTGGTCTGGCCCAGAGGACAGCGTGGGACCTGGGGTGGGATTAAGCAGGAAGGAGTTTGAGTTCATGCTGGGAAGGTTTTTCTAAACCCTCAGGGGAGATGTCAAAGTGACAAAGAGGTGGCAGTGGGGGTGGGGCCCCTTGCCAGGGGGTGGGGGCGGCAGGCCACTGGGGTAGGCTTCGGAAACCTCTCCCACCTCTGGGACTGAAACACTCTGCTCTGGGACTCGGGACTCGGGGCTCGGGAATGGGGGGGAATGGGGGGGACGCGCTGAAGGCTGCGCTTGGGAAGACTTGGCGGTGGCCCAGTGTCACCTTCATGCCCTGGCCCTGAGAAGCAGGGCCCGAGCTGGGGGCCGGGTGCGGGGGGGACCCCCCTCGCACCCCCCATTCCCAGGGCCTAGAACGGCGCCTGGCACAGAGCAGGCCCTGGGGAGGGTCTGTCCCGTGACCTAACGACTCCGTTCTTTGACTCACTCTGCCGGTGTTTCTGATAACAGGGGCAGGGGCGGCTAGAGCTGCTAAATACCGTCCGAGATTGGTCGGTTTGGGGCTGGGTCGGTTTGGGGCTGGGTTCCGAGTCTGCCCTCACCTCCCTGGGGAGCCGGGGTGTGACGACTGCAGGGTCCCCGAGCGCTCGGGGGATGTGGGCGCGGGGATTCCAAGGTGCCTTCCTCGAAGCCCTCCCGCTCACACAGGGCGGGGGTGGCCTGGCCAGCCCAGGCGCCTGGAGCCTCTGTCCCCTGCCCCTTTGTCTCGTGTGACACAATGGGTGGCTTTTTGTCCCCATAAAGTCCCTTTCACTGCAGGGAGAAGGGCCAGGGCGGGGTGGGGGCCGGGCTGGCAAGTCCTGAGTGTCCCCAGGCTGCCCAGAGGTGTCCTAGTGAGGGGACCCCGGGACGCGTTTGCGTTAAGGCCCTGTCCTGGCCTCCTGGGCGCAGCGGTCGGGCCGCCCTCACATTGTCCATAAAACATGTGGCTTGGTCGCCCGAGCCTAAAAGCTGAAGATTTCTACACACAAATCCAGACTTTTAGTGTCTCCTGAAACATTAGCAGCTCTGGCCACCCCAGGCCTGTGTCCCCACCTGCACCGGCGGTGGCTGTCCCGCTCCAGAGACCCCACCCGCCCCAGTGGGTCCTTTCTGTGGCTGGCTGTGACCTTCGTGTCACCCTCCGGGCTCTGAGGTGCTTGCCCTCCGCACGGCTCCCTCCTCCCAGATTTGTCCCCTGCAAGCCCCGACTGTCCAACAGCCCTCACGACCTGCTGGGGCTTGTAACCTTTTCTTTCACGGCATTTCACCCGCACAGCACGTCCTGAGGCGACAGGATAGGCGTCCCCACTCCCCACGTCCTGAGGCGACAGGATAGGCGTCCCCACTCCCCGCCTCCTTCACGTGTCGGGTGAGGAGACAGACCAGAAAGGGCAGGTGACTCTCCCAAGGCCACACAGCGAGTCTACAGAGCTCTGACCCGCCCAGGAAGAGAGGAGGACTGAAAGCAGAGCTGGGTGACCGACCGTGTGTCAGGGGAGAGGAGGTGGCGGTGCTGGGGGGTGGCGGAATTCCTCCCCAGCCCCGGGGAGAGGGCGGCCTGGCCTCTCACTGCGGGGACGGCAGGGAACAGTGGGCTGAGCCTCCCTGCTCCCTCGGGCAGGCCGGGGTCTCAGGGTGAAGGGGCTGCCGACAACCCTGGCCTGGGAGGCTCCTAGGGCTGGCCCCAGCATCGGGCCCTTCCCTGTGCTCGGCCCGTGCCTGCTACCTGGGTTTGGACACATCATTCTGTCACTGAGGCCGCACACCCTTAAGGAGCTGCATGCACCACCACTACCGCAGCGAGCTGGCTGGAAAACCCACATTCTTTTTCTTTTTTTGAGACAGTCTTGCTTTGTCGCCCAGGCTAGAGTGAGTGCCGTGGCGTCAGCCTAGCTCACAGCAACCTCAATCTCCTGGGCTCAAGCGATCCTCCTGCCTCAGCCTCCCTAGTAGCTGGGACTACAGGCATGCGCCACCATGCCCGGCTAAGTTTTTCTACATATTTTTAGTTGGCCAATTAATTTCTATTTTTAATAGAGACTGGGGTCTCGCTCTTGCTCAGGCTGGTTTCGAACTCCAGACCTTGAGCGATCTTCCTGCCTCTGCCTCACAGAATGCTAGGATTACAGGCTCGTGAGCAAGTGCGCCTGGCCGGTAGGCACTTTATGGAGATGAAGACCCTGAGGCACAGAGAGGTTAAGCAACGTGCCTGAGGTCACACAGCTAGTAAGTTGGCAGGGCCTGAGCTTGAACCCAAGGAGCTGACAGGCCGACCTTCCATCAGGCCTGGCGCCAACACACACAGCTAAATAAGATCTTGACACCCAGATTCAAAGGGTAGCTGAGAAAGATGTATTTTTGTCCCAGGGCTGCGGTAGCTAAGTACCACAAACCGGGTAGCTTAAAGTGACAGGAATGTACTGTCTCGAGGCTCTGGAGGCCAGAAGTCTGAAATCCAGGTGCTGGCAGGTTGGATGGTCCCGAGGGAGAACCTGTCCCCTACCGCTCTCCGAGCGGGTGGTGGGCGCCCCGGGCTCTGCCTCCCCAGGGATGTTCTCCCCGTGTGGGTCTCTGTGTCCCCGTTTTCTCTTACAAGGACACCATTGGTTGGATGAGGAGCCCACCCCACTCCAGCACGACCTGCTGGTTGGCGGGGACCCTGTGTCCAGATAATGTCACATTCGCGGGCACCAGGGGTCAGGTCATAAACACGCCAACCCGCAACAGAAGATGAGAGGAAACACCTCCCCAGAGTCGCCGAGGGGCACGCAGCGGGGAGTGGCCCGTCTGGCTGTCACCGTGGGCAGGGCCGAGCTGGCCTCTGGGTCGGGCACTCGCGACGAGTCCGCCCTCTCTGGTCCTGCGGGTGGTTTTAGCAGAAACCTCTCTGTTGCCCAGTTGTTGAAGTTCTCTGGGCGTGCGAAGGTCTTGTGAGTGTGTGCCGCTTGACACCGCGGTCCTCGCACGTAAAGAAAACGTTCCTGATCCAAGTTCTTCAGCTTTTCAGAAAAAAAAAAAAAAGCACCCTTGAGGGTTCCAGACAGTTCTCTTTGTTTATCTGTAGCATCTGCCCAGGGAGGCGTTGCAGGGCCTCGCGGGAGGATGAAGCTTGGCTCTGTGTGTGTGTGTGTGTGTGTGTGTGTGTAAGAGAGACACAGGGATGTACGTGCAGACGCCTACCGAGAACCATGGGGACAGGGGGACGCATAGGCAGGAGGGACCCACACAGGGACCCAGAGGGAAAGGCAGATGCTCCCAGACACCACACGGCTCCTTCCCATCCCCTCCCCCACCTCCCTGGGTCTGGGGTCACACGTCACCTGGCCAGTGACATCTTTCTTGGCCCCTTATCTAAAAGTGCAGCTGTGACGGTGCTGTCCCCTGTCCCCCTTCTCAGTAGGCTTGCTGGACGTCGGGGCCCAGAGAGACGCACGCACAGGGGCTGAGCTGCGAGCAGAGGGTGTCTGGGTTGTGGGGCGAGCCTTCTGGGCAGAGGGGCCTGGACACAGCCCTGGGGGCAGGCGGCAGGGTCAGGGCCTGCTGCGTCACCCTCTGCCCCAGCTGCCTCCGCTGTCCCCCTAGCGGAACAGAGGGGTAGCCCCACTGTAAGGCACGAGTCCCCTGGCCCCCTGGGTGCTGCCTGGGAGGGTGTGGCGTGCCCTGCAGCTTCCGGCAGGGTCACCAGACCAGTGAAGGGGTCAGGAGGGTGCCCTGTCCTGAGCAGGGTCGCTGGGGGCTCAGGGACCGGGAGGAACCAGTCTGTCTGGTTCTGGAGGAGGAGTGGACCTTCCTCGTTCCAGGGCAGAAGCCGAGGCCGCCCGGGCACAGGGCCAGCAGCTGCACCGGAACGCTAGAAATTCCCACCCCTGCTTGTGGGTCTGGAAGCCAGGGGCGGGGCTGGAGCGCGGGACAGGGACAGCGGGGAGAGCCCGGGTGCCGGCTGATGGGCCCTTGTTTTCACACATCACTAAATAACTCGTAGTCGCACTGAGTAACCTACCAGTCGTAGGTTCCTGGGAGGGACAGATTTGGGTTCCAGTCCTGCCCTGCCCTTTACCCCCGGTGACCGCGGGCACTCCCTGAGCCTCTGTTTGGGAACTGGGCATAAGGAATAGTCCAGACCTCTGGGGTCTGGCGAAGGCGGGGTTGGTGACTCACGCCTGGCGCACGGTGGGAGGCGTCAGGTGGTTATTGCCACCGAGGCTGTGAGTAACAGTACAGATGATTGACAGGTGTGCATTGGCCTAAACCGGAATTGGTCTGTTGCAGTGAACCGAAAATCAACAACAGACCAATTCCGGTTTTCGGTTCACTGCATTTTCCAACGTCCTTTTGGACAGTTGGAACCAGGCCATACGGTGGCCGTGGAGGCCCGTAAGGAATTTGCTTTAAATGAGAAAATAGAATTGGCCTTGGTGTGCCCAGGTCGCACCTGGAGTAGGTGCCGGGCGTGCGGCTCCCAGAGTGTGTTCCCCTGCAGCCCCTGGCCGCACCCAGCCCGCGGCTCCCTGGCGTGTCTGAGTCCGGGCATCAGGATCTGTCCTGAAACACCTGCCCTGGGCCCTCGGTCGAGGGCTCTGCCCCCAGCTTGGCGTATGCCTGCACCACTGTCCCCACGTCCTCACCTGCCCCACCCTCACGCAGCCTGCTGGCGGGGTTGGCAGAGAGCACAGGTGTGCAGCGGAGGCTGGCAGGGTGCGTGAGGGGCGGGGACCCCTGGGAACGTGGCCTGGAGAGGACGCCTTCCCTGGACCTGAGCCCCCCTTCCTTAGGCAGGAGGAGGCAAGGCCCGGGGCAGGTCACAGGTTGACATCCCTGGCAACTGTGCAGGGCAGGTTTCTGGCCCTACCCCGCACGTGAAGAATCGGGATCATGCGTGCCGGAGCACGTGTTTACGGAGCACATGCCATGTGCCAGGCACTGCAGATCCAGCAATAGGCAAAGCACGGAACTCCTCGTGGGGCCCGAGTTCTAGGGCATGGGCTTCACTCGCGTCACCTGGTGTGGCCCCATAGGGGAAGGTGCTGGCCCACCCAGCCCGACTCCCAAGCCCAGCGTCCCACCTGCCACTCCCCAGTGGGCTGCACCCTTCCCGAGGCAGACCTCCAGGCAGGGACAGGAAGAGGAGGCAGGAGACTGTCAGGGTGCTGCAGGCCGTTCCTGTCCGGGCCGCAGGGCAGTGTAGGGGACCCCTGCAGAAACTTCCCTTCCGGTTCCTGGGGGGCCACTGCGGGGTGGGGTGCCTGGCAGGTGCAGGGTTCCTTGGGGCAGCCCCGCAGCTGGTTCGAGCGGCCAGGGGGACGATTTGTCTCCAAAGACCAGCAGCAGAGGGGGGGGTCTTTTTTTTTTTTTTTTTTGAGACAGGGTCTTGCTTTGTTGCCCAGGCTAGAGTGAGTGCCGTGGCGTCAGCCTAGCTCACAGCAACCTCAAACTCCTGGGCTCAAGCGATCCTCCTGCCTCAGCCTCTCGAGTAGCTGGGACTACAGGCACGTGCCAGCATGCCTGGCTAATTTTTTCTATTTTTAGTTGTTCAGCTAATTTCTTTCTATTTATAGTAGAGACGGGGTCTCGCTCAGGCTGGTTTGGAACTCCTGACCTCGAGCAATCCACCCGCCTCGGCCTCCCAGAGTGCTAGGATTACAGGCAGGAGCCACCGCGCCCAGCTGGGGGGGGTCTTGTTCCTGGATGTTTCTCTGCGATCCCACTGACTTGTCCTTGAGCTGATGGCACGTGCCTAGATGCTGGCCCGGGGGGGAAAAAGAGAGACGCCTCCGTGCATCTTGATAAAAAATGGAGCCTTTCTCCAAAGCCCCAGGGTAGATCCTGCTGTCGCCTTAGTGGCCATGGGTTCCAGGGAATGCCCTCGTGGAGAAGGGAGGACCCCAAACTCTAGAGGACGGAGCCAGCAAGGAAAAGGGCAGGAGGGCTAGAGAGGCCCAGGACAGTCACGTGAGAGGTGCCACGTGGGCCCTCCCTGGGCCCCACGAGGCCAGTCAAGTCAGCAGACCTGTTGTGTAGACTTCCCTGTGGCCACACCAGCTGAAGCTTGTGCAGTCCAGCCGCGACTTGGCCTCTTCTGGAAAAACAAAAGCAAAAGCAGACACTTGCGTTGTGCCCATTGCTGTACATGAACTCACGGGTCCTTAAAGTAGCTCCACTCGGCTGGGATGCCAGGGCCCATCCTGCCACGTGGGAATGGTGTGAGGCACAGGTCCCTTGACGTCTTTGAGGCCGGTGTCACCTGTAAGATGGTAACATCTGTAGAGCAGGGCAGTGGAAGAGTCAGAGATGTGGGGTAGGAGAGGCAGAGGGCAGGGCGGCAGGCGGGAGGTCACCCGCAGGCCCTTGTGACGTTCTCTGCTGGGCCTAGGTAGGAGGAGGACCCATCGATTTCCCACCTCTGGGGCTGTGACCAGCCCTCAAGGATGTGACAGTGACTTGATCTTCCTTTCAGCAGCCAGGGCCCAGGCCCTGTACTGGGTGTTGGGGGCAGGGGGCAGTGGTGACAGACGGCCGTTGCCCCGTCCTCAGAGAGCTCATGGTCTGGGGAAGGAGACAGAATGACAGTCTTAGGTGGTGGGAGCCTGGGAGGCCATGTGAGCATGGAAGAATGTTCTGGAACACAGACTGGAGGAGCGGGAAGGTGTCCTGGAGCACCTGACATCCTAGCTGAGAGCGGAAAGAGGAGTATAAGTTACCAAGCCAGGGCCCCAGCACAGGGGTATACAGCAGGGGCCAAATCAATACTTCTTGACCAAAGGAGAAAGGAGGCCAAGGCTCTGGCAGACTCTGCCCTGTCTCTCCCCCAGGTGCTGGGGCTGCTGGTGTGGGCCCTGATCGCCGACACCCCGCACCACCTGTACCCCGCCTACGGCTGGGTGATGTTCGTCGCTCTCTTCCTCTGGCTGGTGACAATCATCTTCTTCGTCATCTACCTGTTTCAGCTGTACATGAAGCTGTACATGGTGCCCTGGCCGCTGGTGGTGAGTCTGGGTGGGGACATAGGAGGGTGGCTCAGGCTGACCCCGAGAGTGGCTGTCCCTAATGAGAAGTGGCAAGGTGGGGGTGGGGTGGCTGGCGTCCTCCCTGACCACAGCTGGTCTGGTTTTTCTGGTTACCATGAGCCAAGAAGGACACAGGCTTGACCTTGTCCCGAGCAGCAGGCAGAAGTGAGGGGCTGCTCCGTGGATGCACAAGAGGCCACTTGGAATCTCGAAGACATTTTTCCTTCTTGTAGGTGGTTGGGATTTGAGCCTGTGTTGTGTGGGCTTGTCCTCCGTGGCCGGAGCTGGGGGTGAGCTGCCAGGAGTCACCCGGGCCCTCGGGCACCCAGCTGCCGCCAGGGCGAGGCCCCGTGACCGGGCGAGAGGCTGGGTCCCAGGTTTGTCCCAGGACACGGGGCTGAGAGCGGACACAGGAAGTTCCCGGCCAGACACAGAAAGCTGCTGGGTTTTTTTTTTTACTCTGACCCGGAAAACCCCCGCAGCTGGGGTCTGAGGCTTTCAGTGAGCAGAGAGGCGAGAGAGGCACATGATTGTAAGACAAGCAAGGCTGGGACTAGGCGTCATTGTTTGCAATTCAATGACTTTTTAAACTGAGGAAACGTGAGTCATCCTCAAGACAGAATGGGCTTGTTAGATCTCCACGTCACCGGCAGGTGCCAGGCGGTGTTTGCAGGGGTCGCTGGGCTCGCGGGGAAGATTTATTTATTTAGACAGAGTCTCGCTCTGTCACCCTGGGTAGAGTGCAGTGGTGTCATCATAGCGTGCTGCAACCTCAAACTCCTGGGTTCCGGCGATCCTTCTGCCTCAGTATCTGGGACTACATAAGTGCCCACCACCACACCTGGCTAAGTTTTTCTGTTTTCAGTAGAGATGGGGTCTTGCCTTTGCTCAGGCTGGTCTTGAACTCCTGACCTTGAATGATCCTCCTGCCTCGGCCTCCCTGAGTGCAAGGATTACAGGTGTGAGCCACCGCGCCTGGCCAATGTTGGTAATTTCTAAAAAGCGTATGGGGCAAACTGAGTGTTTAAGGGCCGCCAGTTTGAAGACTAACAGACCCAAGTGTGTGGAACAGGGGAGCGGGGCCTGGTGGCCATCCGAGGGCCCCTTCCTGCCAGTCTGCCGAGGTGTCCAGCCAGGGTTGTCTGGGTCCTCCTGCTGTCCTCACCCTGGCATTCGCTCGGGGCCTTGAGCTTAGGATGTGGCCAAAAGGTAGACATAGATGCCTCCCCCAGACGCAGAGAGGGACGTGAGACCCCACCCTGGGAGCAGCCGCGGAGCTGGCCCCGCCGTGCTGGGAGGGCCTGGGCTGGCCCTGGGCCACGCTTGGAGCAGCCCATGTTTCTTTAGCTGGTTCAGAGAGACGGGTCACAGATTGGCCTTCTGCTGTGGGGAATGGGTTTGGCCTCATGGGACTTGGCCCTGGCCTGTCCCCAGCACGATAGGCAGTCCCATCATTTCCCCTCCCACTCTCAGCCTTAGGTAAGGGGGACTGCTGCCTTTTGGGAGGAAAGCCCCACGTGTCTGCGTCCCCACCCCCTGGCTACTAAAGGGGTGTGCCAGTGGGAGCCGGGAGGTTCCGGCTCCGTCTCCTCGTCTCTTATGGCTTTTCTCCCCCCACTCCCCACCCTGGCCTCCTGCAGTTAATGATCTTTAATGTGGGCGCCACCGTCCTCTACATCACCGCCTTCATCACCTGCTCTGCGGCAGTTGAGCTGACATCCCTGAAGGGCACACGACAGTACAACCAGCGTGCGGCCGCCTCGGTGAGTATGCTCCCTGGGCCCTGCAGCCTGCAGGGGACACAGGCCCGACCAGCGCTTCTGCCCGGAGCTCGCTCAGCTCCCTCCATCTGAGGCCAGGGACCTGCCACCTCCTGAGCAGTTTTCACCCGAACTCTCAGCTGGTCTCGTAGGGGAGCCAGGCTGCTTTCGGGCTCCTATAATTCACAGAAAAACCCTGATGGACCAAAATGCTTGGGGAACAGCGGGTGGTGGACAGTGGAAGTTTTAGGTTAGCTGTTAAGCTTTGTCGTAAATCAGTTGTGCCATGCTGATGTAGGGTGCCTTTGGAGAATCTGTTAAAAACTAGGGACCCTCCGCCTTTGCCAAGTGCACATGCAAAAAACATTTTGGTTTAAACCATTTTGGGAGATTCACGGGCTCTCCCATGAAGCCCAACTGCGGACGCATGGCAAGTGGCCAGTGGTGCCGCAGTCCCCTCCACACCTGCCACGCGTCACTCCCAAGGCCTTGCACCCCTTTCCTCCAGGATCCTGTGACCCCCAGTGAGGAAGAGGAAGGGAGTACCCATCCCTCTTGACAGACAAGGAAACATTGGCACGTAGACACGGAGTCACAGGCTCGTCATGGCTAAGACCAGGCTAGGGCAGAGTCTAGACCAGCAGTTGGGTTTCCTTACTCTTCCTGGTGAGACTGGTTTTGAAATTAGCACATTCAGTCACAGGGACAGAGACATGGAGCTTCTGAATATGGCTGTAGGTATGAGTATGGCGGTATGAACTGGTTCCAGAAAATTCCTAGGGTGGCCTTTGAATGTTGTCTTTCTAAATCTGAATCCCAGCAAGGTGTCCCCTCGGTCACTCTTATGGTTGCCCTTCTCACAATCTGACACAACTTGCCTGTGTGGTTTTAATTTCCCCGTTAGAAGGTCACGATGGCACCTCCCACGACAGGCTGCTGTCAAGTGTGTAAGGCCAAGAGTGAGGCGTCAACGTCTGGTTCACTGAGGGGCTGTTACTCAGGGTTCACGGTCTGGGCCTGCTGCTTTTGTCACTGTCGCCCTCTTGCTCCCAGTACCCGATACTGGCTTGTACTGACTCGGCCGCGCTCTGCTCTCCTGTCTTCCAGTTCTTTGCGTGTCTGGTGATGATTGCCTACGGCGTGAGCGCCTTCTTCAGTTTCCAGGCCTGGCGAGGAGTGGGCAGCAACGCGGCCACCAGCCAGATGGCCGGCGGCTATGCCTAAAACCACCTGCGCCGTGGCCCACCCTGGGGCTGAAGCTGTCGCAGGGTCACAGTGCAGGGTCACCCCGCAAGCCTGAGGCTGGGGAGCCCCGAGAGGAGTCAGCCCGGAGGGATGATACTTTCCCGCCTCCGCTCATCAGACTCAGCTCTCACCGTGCTCCTAAGGAAACAGGCCCACGTTGGCACACGCACGGGCTGGCAAGAGGCCAACGCCTGAGACCTCGTCCCCAGCCCCCTTATTCAGTGGAAGGTGACGGGGGATCCGGGGCCACTGTCTGCCTTGTTTTTAGAGGACTTCAGCGTCCGAGGCTGGGGCCAGCCCTTCTCGGCAGCACTAACTGCACTAACCTGCCGTAGTGTAAGCCTAACCAGCTACACGTGTCACCTTAGTCTTTGTTCCAGAAGAGCTCTGCAGGCTCCGAAACCATTCCAATTCCTTACAACGCAACTCCGACCCGCACCTGCCCCAAGCCATGTCACTTGTAGGAAGAGGGTTATGATTTTTGACAGCACGGTCTTCTCTGCATGGCGGACAGACCAGTTACTTAAAGCAGATCGGGTGTAAGTGACTTCGCGATGAGGAAAGGCCCATCCAGGTTTCCTTCCTTTCCCAAGCCCGTCTTTCTAACACTCCCCTTGGGAAAAGCTGGCATCCATGCCAACTGCTGCCTTGCCACTGTTGATTAGGCTCATGGGACATGAAGGAGGGAGGGGATCGAGACCTTGCCGGGTAAGTTGTCATGTGTTGGTAGTGACTATGTTGTTTGTTTCTTTTCTTTTTCTTTTTGTACAAAAATAAAGATGGAAGAACTGATTTGGAGAATTGTTGGGGACTCACAGTCGTAGGGGATTGTAAACTTCAGGGAGCTGCAGGTGGACTGAATAAAGGTTCTGAAATGTCTATCACAGGGCAGTTCAGTTTCTGAGTCACTCAGCAGCACAGGCTACTCATGGGCCACCCGCACTTCCTGCCTACTTTGCTCCACGCGGTCTGTGCTGGTGTAGACGCAGCAGCACTGCCTTTTATTCTCAAGTGCTCTAGTCTGACAATAACTAACTTAGTCACCCCTGCTTTGGGCATAAGATTTCAATAATGTCACAAGTTTGTGAAGCTCAGAGGCCACATAATCAAGGTGGCTGGCCATGCTAGATGCCCAGAGCCGGCAGTGACAGCAGACAGGAAAGCATCTCAGCCAGCTGGGCTCCTTCTTCCACACCACAGAGCATTTTTAGGCACCCTCTGTCCTTTTTAAAAACGTGGGAACAATTAAAATGCAACAAGGTGGGCTGGGTGTGGTGGCTCACACCTGTAATCCTAGTACTCTGGGAGGCCAAGGCTGGCAGATCGCTCAAGGTCAGGAGTTCAAAACCAGCCTGAGCAAGAACTAGACCCCATCTCTACTAAAAAAATTGGCCAACTAAAAATATATAGAAAAAAAGAGCTGGGCATGGTGGCGCATGCCTGTAGTCCCAGCTACTCGGGAGGCTGAGGCAGAGGATTGCTTGAGCCCAGGAGTTTGAGGTTGCTGTGAGCTAGGTTGATGCCACAGCACTCTAGCCTGGGCAATGTAGTGAGAGTGTCTCAAAAAAAAGAAAGAAATCAGAAAGCCTACTTAAAATATTAAGCTTGCCTTTTTTTTTTTTTCATGAGTAGAAATTTCCCTTTCTTTTTGCTCTGATTCCATCAGTTAACCTCTGGACTTGTCCACTTGCCCTTTCTCAACCAGGCAGGCTGCTCAACAGGTCTTACAAAGTGCCTCCCACCTCCCTGGCCTGTGGTGGACAGTCCCATTGATAAGAAGAGCAGGAAGAGAAAGCAAGCCCAGGACAGGTGGCATTTTAAAAAGCTGGCTCTGAGGGCCGGGCGTGGTGGCTCACGCCTGTAATCCTAGCACTTTGGGAGGCCAAGGCAGGCGGATTGCTCAAGGCCAGGAGTTCGAAACCAGCCTGAGCGAGACCGGTCTTACAAAAATAGAATAAATTAATGACAATAAAATATATATATCAAAAAATTAGCCGGGCATGGTGACGCATGCCTGTAGTCCTAGCTACTCGGGAGGCTGAGGCAGGAGGATCGCTGAGCCCTGGAGATTGAGGTTGCTGTGAGCTAGGCTGACGCACGGCACTCACTCTAGCCTGGGCAACAAAATGAGACTCTGTCTCAAAAAAAAAAAAAAAAAAAGCTGGCTCTGAGAATGGTTTTAAAGAACTAAGCAGGCCGGGCGCTGTGGTCACGCTGTATCTAGCTTTGGGGAGCGAGGCGGGCGGATTGTTCAGGTCAGGAGTTCAAAACAGCTGGCAAGAGCGGACCCTTTTCTATAATAGAAAGAAATTATGGCACTAATACTTATAGAATAGACCGGGCATGGTGGGCATGCTGTAGTCAGTACTGGTGAGGCTGAGGCAAAAGAAGGATCAATCAGCCAGGAGTGGTTGAGGTTGCTGTGACGCTGGTGATGCCACGCACTCACTCTAGCTGGGAAAAGGAGACTCTGTCTCAAAAAAAAAAAAAAAAAAAAAGCTGGCTCTGAGAATGGTTTTAAAGAACTAAAGCAGGCTGGTCTGAGTGCAATGGTGTTTACAACAGCCAGTTGCAGATTTCTTTGTTCTGTCTCCACTCCCACTGTTTCACTTGACTAGCCTTTAAAAGAAAAGGGGGTGGGGGTGCAAAGCAGTAATACTCTGATGGCAGTGGCTATATTGCACAAAGGAATTGACTCTTCTAGAATGATGCTTCTTACAAAACACCTCAAATTTTACTCATGGTACAAAAGTATTTAATAAGCAATATATCAGTACAGAAAAACACATAGTTCATAGCTCATCCTTTAAAACCAGAATACCCAGCGTAAAGTCAGTACAGATTCTTATTTTTACTTTAAAAAAAAAATCAAGGGTACACATCAGAATTGAACTACTATGTTTTTTCTTCTATCTAGAGATGTGATATACATGTTTTCTGACACGTAATATTCTACCAAACATTGCATTAAACCAAAGCAGACAGATGACCAGCAAAGCTGTTTACTACCTCCTACTCATGCATGCTGAGCTAGACTGGTGGAACACCATCTTGGTAGGAGAGATTTTGACAGGAAGAAGAAATTAGGAGTCCCTACTTACCCCAACAGAAAACCTAACAAACTGGTTTATATGGAAAGGATTTTCAGCAAAGATGCACAAACACATTTAACATGCTATTAAGAACAGGATATCTTTGAGTCAATTTCCAGCACACAGCATACATTCATCAGAGCACAGTAAAAGAAGAATGAATGCCAACATAGAAAGCATTTGTGCCTTCATAGCACGAACAACTAAGCACACAGCATATAATACTTTGATCTTTAAGTGGGTAATCATGGAAGTTCCAAGATCACGTCCACTAGGTTAGCCTGAGTATTTCATCTATAAAAATATTTTTTCAAAAATAATGCTTAAGAGACTTCAAGGAACAGTGGGACTACAGTATCAGGACCAGCAGGAGACAGTGATACAGGGACTGCAAATGTTAAGACTAGGGGAGTTGGTTCTACGTAAAGGACATCTCTTTCAGTTGATCCCTACAGCTAGGACAAGCTGTGATCACAGGAGATTTGGAAATCAAGATGGGCAGCTGGCTTGAATAACACCCTAGATAAATACTCAAAAACCCCAATGAAGGTGAAGGACTGAAATTTTGACCTATGTGAAAAAGAGCTCTGAGTGTACAAAAACAAGTTCATGCAAAGTCTACTGGGACAAACAGGGTTGGTCATGGTGGGTTATTCCACACTACTGACACACCAACATGTATGCTGGGGAAGGGCCCCCAAGTGGAATGCCTGACCATGGGCTTGCTCCAGAGGAGTCTGACTCAGAAGCACCTGAGTGAGAGATCTCACTGGGTAGGTTTAATGAATACAAGAAGTTGTTTCAGGATAACCAGGTCCAGGAGGGTTAGGTCATTTTGGTTTTGACCCATCAATACTTAACATGAATGCAGGATGGAGTCAGTCTTTCTAGGTAAGATGTATTCTGCTGTCATCATTAGCTGAGCCTTTTGGACTCTTGGGCCTGTGACATCCAGAATGATCCCATTCATTGGCTGCACGTAGGATCTAGTGCCGTAAATTGTTCTGGGAAGTTGGCATAGAAGATGATTTGCACAATGAAGTCACCACTAAACCACTGCTTAAGTCCAGTCCCCGGCCTTCTTTTTCCTACACAAGAAAAGAAACAACCTCAAGAGGCAAGGAATAGAAAGAGTACTGGTTCAGGACCCTGCCTCTGGTATAGGGAAGGCAGAGCTCAGGGTGGGAGTGTGGACAACCAGGGAGGAGTACACAGAAAGGGAAAGGATGTTATTTTGCATTTCTGCTCAATACTGGCTCTGGTCATTAAAATGCAATCTTAAAAATATACCTCTTCACTGGGAAATTTTTTTTTTTTGAGATGGGGGTCTCGTAATGTTGCCCAGGCTGGAATGCAGTGGCTATTCACAGATGTGATCATAGCACAGTACCTCCTGAGAGCAGCTGGGACTAGAGGCACACACCACCATGCCTAGCACCATTTTTCTTATAAACAGCCTGCATTATAAGAAAGGCAAAGCAGAATGAGACCTGCTTTTTGATTTTTTTCCTTCTGATTATTTAGGAACCCTACAATTGAACTGGGGGTCTGTGGTCTGTTTCATCAAAACATGAAAAGGTCCCGGCCAAGGTAGAATAGCAGCTCACTCTTCTGATACCTCACCAGCTACTGATATTGGTCAATTTTAAGGGAGAATGAAGGGAAGTAGTTTGCGTTTAATAGTTCTACATGGAACTTTCTAAGTGGTTCAATGTAGCTAAATAAACAGGCAGTAGTAACTTACTGCTCTGTAGTCCAGAAACATTTCTTTAAAAGCCAGAAAATCTGTAAATGTGAGCAGCATGTCAAATATGTCACCAGCCACTTCATCCTTATGGTGCCTGCAAAAGGAAAGGATGGCTATTTCATGAATGAATGATGCAACAGGCTCTTCAAGATTTCATTCAAAGGTTTTGAGAGCTTCCCACCCAGGACCTACCAACAAGTGCTCACACTTGGGGTGGGGTGGGGGGAAGGAGGGCCTTTGGTTCACACTAGGGAAGACGGCGAATAAAAGGTTAAAAAAAAATACAGTCTAGCTCCACTCACTGTAACGTCGTTGTGAAAGCCGCCATGTTAAATCCGGGAATGCGCTCTAGCAGCTGTTCTTCAATATACTTTTCTACCAGAGAAATCTACAACAGTGGAGAGAATCTTGGTGAGACCACACTTTGGGAAAACAAGACTTCTTTTCAGAGAGGCCATCCTCCAGCCCCTCATAAACATTTCCTGAGGTCCTGGTCTATGTCCCAGGCTCTATGCTGAGTGGTAAGGACACCAAAGAGGACCAAAACACAGCTCCTGTGCTGGACAGGCACTCGGCCTGGCGTGGGAGAGAGGCATTTGCAGGTAATCATGCTGCGGCAGGACAGAGTTGTACACAGGTGCAGACAGAGCGCAGCAGGGCTTTTCCGTGCCCAATTCCCAGTGCGGGGGGAAATAAGAGGGGGGTTTTGCTTCCTGGGCAGATGGCACCTGTGCAAACAACCTACAAAAAACCATACACTCAGAAGGAGTCACAGTTTCCTTCTGGGTGGGTTTCATCATTTATGCTGTGCTTCTGTGTTAAGAAAATAAAGTCCAGGAGGCTCAAACCTATTATGAGATAGATAAGATAATCCTAGGAGGCTGCAAGAGGCCTCAGGGTATATAGTGTAGAGACCCAGCAGTGATGACTTGAGGTTTCTGGGTTCCCGTCTTGGTTTTTGCACCAACCAGTGGAAAGCTAGTGATCTTGGTCACAATTTTCTTTTCTTTCTTTCTTTCTTTCTTTTGAGACAGAGTCTCGCTTTGT